GTTGATCATGATGAAATGAGGGGAATGCCTACTACTGCTAAGTTAAATAAGGGTTCTGTACAGCTCAAAGGTGAAGTAGAAATAAATGCAGTTGCAGCAGGCATGCATACTTGTCAGACCGTCAGTGTGATTGATCAGCATGTAGCCCACCTATCATCAGATGCTAGTGCTAAACCTGAGCTAATAGTAAAATACACCAGTGGTGGTGGTCTTGCATTTAGACAACTTTCTGAAAGTCGAGCAACAGCAGCTTTTGACCCACCGCTAACTTCATTAACTGATATCAATCAGTCGTCGTTGGTGCTGTCATCCAGAGTGAAACAGACGCCCATCAACTCAAGTATCTTGTCCAATGACTATGCTAGTATCAGTTCGTTTGAAAGGACGAATATCAATGGTCAGTTTAGTGAGGATAAGCCAAGTGTAAACGAGAGAGTAATTGTTAAATTGACTTGCATGAATAAAGGCATTTCTAGTTTCGAGTTACTATTTGAATGTTATTATCTTCGGTGTAAATTACTCTGTTTCTACGCTTGGTTGACCAGATACGTCGTGTGTATTTTAGTCATCTTTATTCTACGATACAATGACATGAGCGTGTTACCATTCAGATTTGAAGATATAGCTGATAGGAGGAGGTCAGCAAATGAACTCTGCAACGATTTTCCAACCTAGGGCGTCAACCTGAGAAGGGTTGTAGGCGTACTGCTGTAAGTCCTACAATTCTTCAAAGGGTACCTCATCAATGAGCAGTTCAATGTGTTTGGTGTGTGATTTTGTAGATATGTTCATGTTTTATATACTGAATTGATATCATCTGTCATCTATCTGTTGGCAATTCTGTTTGTGTCCGGACGACTTCCACTTGGATCATCAACCTGAGAAGGAATGTAGGCGTACTACTCTAAGTCCTACAGTTCTTCAAGGGTAGTTTGTCGTGTCAGAATCCACAACATTTGATGTAGTGATTGTACATATGTTTGTGTTAAATAGTTGTGTGAGTTCCAATTATTGTAATTGTTGGTTAATCTTGTTTGTGTCCGGACATTCCACAATTTACAATCGTCAACCTGTGAAGGGTTGCAGGCGTACTGGTGTAAGTCCTGCAATTCTTCGAAGTAATTCCACCAAGACATGATCCGCGAGGTTATTTGTACTATTTGTATATATGTGTGGTGTGTCATATCAATTGGTGGTGTTTTGGATTCATTGTGTTTACTCGTTGTTTTCGTACCTTGTTTTTATTGCATAATTTTGTTAAAATTTTCGTCGTGATTACTTCTGGAGTTGTGTCCACTCTTCTACATCCATGAATGAATTGATTGATGTTAGGGAGAGCAGATGGTTCGTATACGCCGGGGAGGCTAGGCTATTGCTGAGAATGAAATGCACACGGAGATAATTGTTAGCTGCGTTCCGACACGCCGGGGAGAAAGAGTCATTCTAGCAAGTGGCGATTGTGTTGCAAGATGTCAAGAGGAGGTCTCTGTCTGGAGGCGCAGGTCGTCAGCGATGTGTGACAGTTTGCTGTTGGTATGCTTGTTGTGTGTTGGCTTTTCTGTTTGTTTTCCACTTCAGCTCTGTCCGTGTGACCCAGGTTCTCGCAATGGCATCCAAGTCAACGTGTATTGGTCGTGAAGGAAAAAAGGGTTGGATCCCTTTTTCGCCGGGGAGTGTCAATGGAGTTGAAGATTGAACGATCAATTCTTGGTTGTTTCCTCAAACACAACTTCCCCAATTTTTGCGGAGGCATCAATACGACAGTCATCGTCTCATCGGTCGCTGTTCAGAAAGAAGAGTGAAACATTGTCAGAAGTAATACTATGATTTATTATTGTAATATTTGTTCACAGACCTTAGTTCAGTTATTATTTTTATATGTTGGTGTAACAATAAAGAAATCTCAAGCGGCAGATCGGTGTTTTGGTTTTTTCGTCCGTTATAACTAAGCGTTTCTGAAATCTTCAAGGAACAGCGTGGGCCCGAGCGTAGTGAGAGCTGGGCATTAACTCTTTGTGGGACGTGATTGACATACAGTTTCCGAGATCTTTCACTAGTTTTAGTTTAACATTATCTCCGTCGCACCAATTTCTGTCTGTCGTAGTATCTTCCTATTTCTGCTACCCTATTTGATGTGAGTTTTGAAGTGTGGTGACTGAAATTGATGCACTTCTGTACTAATTTTTCTGTTTATCCATCTCATTGACTCTATCTATAGACGTGCCGTTGTCAACATTCAGCCTCTTTGAAGTGAACAGAGTATTTGACGTTCGGTTTTCCATGTGAAATGTTAGATTGTGCTGCAGGAGTTGCATGCTTCTTCCTTTAGTTGAGAACTGGCAGATGAAACTGTAGATTGTGCTGGATACATTTCCAGCCGGCGAAATCTTCAGGTCCACTGAAGGAACTTCAGGACGGAATATTTTCTCCACTTCAGACTTCGTTGTTGGATTTTGCTATCTTCACTTTGGAGTTGATATTTTATATGCAAATTTAATCTAGGTTCGAGAAGTAGTTGTGTTATGGGTGCATCTTAGGTGTACTAGATTCTACGTATTCTGCAGTGGGACTGCATTCCTGTGGTATTGTCTCATTGATTCTTATGGCTTAATTTAGAAAGAATGCCTAATTTAATAATCACTCCAGTCATACTGAAGGCGTATTGTTGGAAAAAGACAGCGAAGTTAAAGTAGGGTACCAAAAGTTGAAGTCTTTCAAAAAGTAGACTTGAAAAACCAATGGGATTCACAGAATGTTATGAAGTGTCTTCTGGAATCTTGGATAGGGTAGATTCGGAATTCTACTTATTCACTAGCCACTTTTTCTGTATGTCTTTTACGTTAGGATGGCTTATGGTTTTTATGAAAGGCTTGGGGCTAATGTTGGGCTTAGGAGCTGGGATGATGGTCAGAGTCACGAGTTAGTTAAGGAGTTGTGTGTAGTAGGTTTCTGGAGTACGTAACAATGTGATTGTATACAGGTTCCAAAGTTCCATTGGATACATTTACCTGATTAAACGCATATATTACACATGGTGTGATGTATCTATGGATTATCTGTGTAGTGACTTAGAGACACTCTTAAATTGCACAGCTACAAATAGAGAGTATGATAAAATGTTTTCAATGTTATTTAGCGCATTTTTAACTAATATGCAACTTTTTCGCATGTGAATTCTGACTAGTTGTTTAGGAACACTATGGTTTTGTCTGTGATAGTTTAAATTTGCCAAAAGGACCTTATTTTTATACTTTATTAGAAGTGACAAATTGCAAACAAAACATTCAATTTGTTGTTCTTTTAGTGTCAATTTGTCCTTGAGCTAGTAAATTACATTAACTTGCGCGGAATTCAAAGTAGGTGGCCGGAGTTCGCGATTTTGATTAATGAATTCTAGGTGAGTGGTTGCTAAATTCTAGAATAGTAACAGTCACTAAATCACTGACAATGTTTTTTGTCGGAGGTTGGGAATATCTCTTGTCTGATTAAGTAATATATTTTGTTCTGCTTCGTAGAAAGTACGGTAATGTATTTCGAAAATAATAATATATGGCGCATCGCTGCAAAACACTTGATGAGAAGTACCCCATAAATTTCGCGTGTTTTAATAAGACTGTTTTCCAGGCTGTCTTATCTACAAATTATTGCTAAAATTGTACACATGATGTTATCATGTTACAAAGGTGCCTTTGTAACTTTGACTCGCAGACGTATATGTCTTAATTCTGAGTTTATGTGTAAGGGTAGCAGAAATACAGATTGACAGTAACCTTCAAATCTAAGATTTTTTCGGTCATAATCTGCCATGAGTTTTCAGTTTATGTCTGGTGCCTATCACCCGTAGAACTTTGTTAATGGTTCTGATTAAGTTGGACTTTGAGTTTGCTTGTATGCTGCGTTTAAATGAGTCTCTTCGTCAACATTTGAGTAGACTTTCTGTGCGATGTTGGTTTCCTTTTTATTTTCTAATCTGAATGGAAGTATGTAGCATGTTATTCACTTATGTATATTTGCTTTACGGTTGCCTGAATTGATCCGTAGAATGTATTATAAAAGCTCAGTTTTCTGCTTATCCGTTATGATTTATCGTTTTTGAGTTTTAACAGCTAACGTTCGCCAAGGTCTTAAGTCTGAACTGTTTGACATCATCTGGGCCACAGTGTTCACTTCTCCCACAGATATAGATTTAAGTATTTTTATTTTTTTTATTTATTTACAGCTTGATTCCACACTGTATTTTGGTACAAGTATGGAATTTTCAGCATGGATATCGGTAGCCCTAATTTTGCAGGCCGACCATAGATATCAGGTGTGCGCCGGGGTGGACTCGAACCCCGGACCATGTGTATGGTCGGCGAGAGTCCTAACCACTGTGCCACCGACGTATAAAGAAAGTATAAAACTTGGGCACTGTGGTAGAGTATAATTCCATTATAGATAAGATTTTATTTTGATAAATCGCACAGTGTTTACAGTTATATCAGTTCATATAACTGTAAACACTGTGCGATTTATCAAAATAAAATCTTATCTATAATGGAACAGATATAGATTGTCGGTATTTTCAATATGGGAGCTATTGAAGCCATTTAGAATATGATAAGCTTTCTGGAGTGAACAGTTTAACGAATCGCGAAAATATGCTTGATCTTATTCCAGACATTGATTTTGTTATATTCGCTATGGGATATAAGTATGCTGCAAATTCACCTTTTTGGCTGTAGTTACTAAATCACAGAGACCTTATGGAAGCACATTTTTACCATTTTTCTGCTAAAATTACTATATATTGTATACGATTTCTCATTCTTTTGAGTTTAGCCTTAAATTATATAGCCATTCGTATGAATTGAAAATCATTCAGGAACTTCCGGTCTTTTTTCATTGTTTCTTTTTCTATGTAGTATAGTTTTATCAGCATTTTAATTTTTCAGGACTAAATTATCAAAGTTTATTATTTGGATCTGTCGTTGCTTGTCCTAAGTCCCTTTTAACTGCACATGCTTAGTATGTCAAGTATTTTTGGTGAGATATGCCAGCTTTTCTGTTGTCCTCCGCGACCTTCTCATATTGTCGCAAAGTTGGCCTTCTTGCCGCCCCCGCCGACTTATTCTATCACCACGTCGGCTAACGATTCAACCTGTCGCATTGATTTCAAACCCGAAGCTGGTTGGCAGATTTCTGAAGATTTAAAATCTAAACTGACAGTAAGTTCCTCACAAAATTGCAGTCATTTCGTAATAGACTCCACATTGGTTATCATGTTGTAATAATTTAAGCGTCATACATTCATTTCTATGAAATTCATTTGGTCAAGGAACATAAACTTCTAATTCGAGTAAAGTTTTGCTGTTAGGAGATTTTTACCGTGAGGTCGAAATTTCTGACCAAAGGTAAATGCGGTCTTTGCGTTTACAAATTAAGATACAGACGACAAAATGTGTTTCTGTGCAGTCATATTTAAGACCTTATCTTTGTTTATTCGATGTATCACGTGCTACAATATTATTTTCTGGATGGACTTTATTGGAATGATTCACTACCTGTTCCGCATATCTGAAACATCTTACCATCACTATGAAAAACGAAGTAAAAGAACCAGAAAAGTGGATACAAGTTTTCAGAATTGTGTGGTGACATTTCGTATGTCTATGGACGATAAGTTGTGTTCGCAACATCATCCAGTAAACAGAATTTATGCTACATTTGGCTTTGTATTATCGTTGACTTTTGTGTAGTTATTAAGTACTGAGTACGTGTGTTTATACGTTCGTGTAGAATTACCTTCGTAATATAGCTATTTTCTGCTTCCGTTCTATGAAAGTTGACTACATCCACATCGAGCGAAACAGAAGTTTTCTTTTCTGATTGCAAATTTACTAAAAAAATTTTCTTACTAAAGATAAGAAAGAAAAAATTTAAGTCAAAAATAGAATTTCGCGCAGTGAAGAAAAACTATAGGTTGAGTGAGTTGGCCTCATGTGATCAGACTGACTGTTTTCTGTTCTGCTTGTTTTCATTGCTCAAATACAAATAAAACGAAGACTTTAAGTAGGTGTTTTGAGTAATCGTATGGTAATATTTACGTTGTGGAATATGTATAATACCAAGGATTGATTATGTGATAGCTTTTGGTATCACTCTTCTTTCCACTGTAAGTTACTTAGTTAATTTGTTTAGATGAACTCCAGAATATCTTTGTGTTAGAGTTCTAAGTTATGTGATAATCTGCTTTGAATACTTACGACTTGAGTTTTCAGCATTTTGAACATTTACAACTTGATTTTTTTCTCACTGTACATAAAATTCTTTGAAACCAACATTTACTAAATATGTATGTATTATAGAAAATATCAGTTGTATTCAGTTTAGCTTCCGTAAACTATTCTGTTATCTAAATTCTATTAAGAGTTAAAATATGTACATTTTTTATGTTTCAATTACTAAAAAAAAGTTGTTATCGCTTTATAAAAGCACAAAGTTTATTGTACTATAGTGTATCTCTTTTCTTCTAGGTTTTTTATACGCTTACAAAACGTCAATCTCGAATTGTTTGTATGCATATACCAGCAAATTCTGTTATGTCACCATCACAGTTCTCATCGAACCTATCGTCACGTCGTGCTTTGTCTTCACAATCAAGAGTAAGAAGTCCTGCACTTAGTGTTAGTTGTCCAACTCTTATTGATGAAGGCAAATATGGATCAGCTCATCCAGCTTTCTACGGTGATTCATCACATCAGGCAAATTATACAGTATTATTCAGTCATGGGAATGCAGTTGACATTGGCCAGGTAAGCCTTTTGTAGGAAGTAATAGTAGAGGTTAGACTTCAATATAGTCAACTGTTTCTAGTCATTTATAACAAGTTTTTTTAACTTCATATCAAATACGCTTATTCACTATAATATGTAGTGATACTTGCTTCACTTAGTTCTTCCTCGTAATTTTGAATACAATTTTCCATATATTTGAAACTGGTGTGATGTCATTCCTCCCAGTTGCTGATTCTATGATGACTGATCTTCCTTTCTAGCTAACTATATCTTTTGATACTTTTTATCCTATCCGACTGTATTGTGTGTTTGTATGTGAGAGTGCATGCATAGCAGTCAGATTTTGCAGATCACTTATTTTAGCGGTTTTTTTAAATTTTATACCTTGTAAGATCCACTGCATTGGGAATTTTAAATACAATAATCAAACGTAAAAAAGAAACGTTACTTACCTACCAGGATCCATCCAAAAATATATAAGAACCCATAAGAAAAATTAAAGGAGTAATGTAAATAATAATCTAAGTGTAATTAGTGAGGAATTTAAAGTCTCCATAGAGTTAAAATATACGGGAAGGATACTTTGAATAGTTAATTAGAGAGGGACAGAGGTTAGTCGCTGGATCTTTGTTCATTAAGTCATCAGCTAACTCAACACGCGTTCCAGATATACAAGAAATCGTATTCAAAACATAGAGAAATAGAACCGTATAAAGAAAGTTAGGAAGTTCAGTGAATATAGTGATAGAATTGTGAGCTCGAAACATCATTCATTTATCAGTTTTGTATCATATCAACTCATTTAAAATAGTGATTTATACTTTACGGCTGGGTCGAAAATTTACTTCTGTTAATTCTATGTAAACATTTCGTCATCATATTCGAGAGTGAGAACGTTTTCTAGAACGAATGCATAAAAGTACATTTTGTAAAAGTCCTTTGTATTAAATACAATAGGATTTATAGTAACATGATATTTTTGTTGATCTAGATGGTGTCAATTTCATATGTGAAATAGAAACTTGACTTCTGATGTTGATGATATGTCTGTCTACTATGTGTGCTATTGTGCCCAACATTTAAACCTTAAGATAGTTGTGTGTGTGTTGAAATTAATTAATGCTTTTTTAAAGTTTCTATGGTCGATAAAAACGAGAGTATCTGCATTTCGTTCACTTCCAAGGTAGTGTATAGTACCGATTGCTCGAAAAACTTGCTAAAGATCCTAAATCGTGAATGTATACACTTTTGTGATTTCTTATGGTAAACAACACCATTAATTCAGCAAGTTTTAATGTATAATTTAGTATATATAATGGGTACATGAAGAAAAATGGTTAGGGAAAACGCAAATCTAAAGGTAGTGATATTACATTGCATCGATAGAACAATATGGACGCCATACAAAAATAATAAAACAACAATGTTTAAGGAAAGTAGAAACAGAGTGAATGAGGGACATCAAGAAAATAAGTAACCATCCTTTGGATGTTATATTGAAAGAATGGTTCATCCCATCATGTTACTTTCAAAAAAGAGAAGAAATGAGGAAATCGCAGCATGTTCGGCACTGATTACGATTCTCAACCGTATCTGATAACGTCTTCAGTCACTAATTCGATGTACCTCTTGGACCTCGCTCATAGAGATGTGACACATCAGCAGCTGCTAACCTAACACAACTTTTCTTCATCCCATGGCACCATTTCGTAGGCTAACCACTCTTCCTCTTTAACCACGTAGTTTCACCTCTAACAAGCCACTGGGGTGACATTTGTAGTGAGTGTTTGAGCCACCGAATCTGATGTCCCAAGATGATAACACTTATTGAAAGATATACCTCCTTTGTATCTAAACATGTTACTAGAGTTCGAGTCACATAATAGTGCTACAGACTGCAAGCAGGTTTGCAGAGATGGCGATGACCAAACACGCAGAGTCCCCGCACATGCTCAGCTTAGAGAGGCCTGGTGTCAAAAGCGTTAAGCAGGACTGTGGGCACCATTGGATTGAATCCCTAAGGTGAATACTTCTCAGTCTTTTTTTTGTGTGTATTAGCTTGTAATGTTCGTTTGTCATTATACTGGAGCAACTTGATTGTTCAGTATTGCTGAAATGCTTAATTTTGTGAATATTAAGATGTTGCCATTAACAACATTTTGATTCAGTTGTGTTCTCTGCACTACTATATGTAGGGTGTATCTGAGCATTGCTTTAACATAGAAACTTCTCTAGTTTTTGGTAATTTGAATAAGTTTTTAGTGTAACAGCATTGTTTCAATCAATACTATTAGTTTACTTTTTTCTACATGTGAAGAAAAGTAGATGAACTTTTACTGATTGAAGTAATTGCATTCTTTTATTCTCTGAAATTGACTTTTTGTCAATCTTTTTGTATTCATTTTGTATGCGAACTTTAATTGTTTTAAAAGTTCACTATTGAACTTCTGTTATTTCATATTCTTTTCATTTGTATTATTGAGTTAGATTATCTCATTTCTATAGTAGATATTGGTGTAATATGTGCTTAAATGATGACAAATCATGCGCTTACAGTGATTGATTGCATATTTTAACGTCATTTTCTGTCATACGTTATGACCTGTTGTCTGTCATGAATAATTTACAAGGTTGTGAAGGCGAAAAGTCAAATGACTTATCTGCTTCGTTAAAGTGCATCAATCCCAACAGGTTGATCGCTGACGAAATTTCAGCACGGATACAGAAGGCTGGTTTGGCATTTGCAAACTTACGCCATCTCTGGTTTAGTGAGTGTGGTGTCCGGCTGTCGACTAAAGGGTGTTTGTACTTCTCAGCAGTTCTCTCTGCTCCTTTATGGCTGTGAGCAAGACATTACCACTGAACGTGGAAGACACGAAAAAGATATCTGTCTTTGAACATAGGTGTCTGCGTTGTATCTCTCGTGTGGAGGGGTATAATAAGGTAAGCAGTATTGAGGTTGGGTGTCAAGTGTTAGGTAAGGAGGAGAAATCAATCGACTAAGTTACACTGATTGAGTTGGTTAGGATACGTGTCGCATATGCATGGCTAGCTACCGCCTGTTTTTCTCGATGGTCAGTGTTAGCTGACTGACATAGGATCGGATTGGAATAGAGCCAGTAGTGATCAAGTCAAAACATGGCTCCATCAGTCAGTGAAATCCACGACAGTTAGTCTCAGCCAGCCACATAGGGAGGTGTAGACTTCCTAGTTTGGGTCCTCGGGATGGTAAAAACCAATGGCTGTTGACAATTGGTGACGTGGCTCAAAATCGTCGAGCTTTGTGGCTGGCGCAGATGCATTCACTCTCTGTGACTTGTCATATCCAATAAAATTCTATTGTCCTTCCATGCTACTATTCTTTTTGCCGCACATTTCTGTTTATTATCTCTGTTTTGAATCTCTCCTTTCTCTCTTCTCTTGCTTTGTGTGGTACATGAAATGTGGCAACTCGAACTGTTGCACATCGGTGCAAAGTTCTGTTAGACCAGTCAATTACTTTGCTGAATGTAATTAGACTGTAAACAGTTTCTGGCTGCCTTTTCTGTGAAAAATTGATATCTTAGTAAATAATTTAGAATCTGAAGTGGTTTGTTTTGCATAACTATAAAGCAACAGAGATGTCTACTTTAAATGGATTACGTGGCGTCTTGTGAAATTTTAATGGTTTTAATCTTATGTTTGGTTATCAAAAGACCTTATCACCATCAATGGAAAACAAAATATACAGTTTTGATAACAGGGAAGCATTGTCAGAGTTGCTGACGTAACGGGATCCGTTCACTGCCATCACGCCTGCTTGGTTGTTAGCGTAACTTAACTTCCCGACACACATCATGTACAGTTTACAAGTATGTCTTTTTATTTGAATCCTTGATTTCATTAAACTTGTCTGGCATAATAAGGCCTTGAAAAGTAGTTTTTCCATCCATAGTATAGTCTTCCATTGAAGTGTAGCTGTTCTGATTCCAGTAGAGTAGAACATGTATGGTAGATATTTTAGGTAACAATTCAAAAATAGTGTATAGTTAATGCGTCTTTACTCTGTTTTATTTTACTGTCAGCTTATTATTTTCGCTGTCCATTTCATATTTGCATCATTTCATTGCTTCATATTCTTCGCTGTGTTGCAGTTTCTTGTGAATCTCTACCTAGTTTCATCTGCCTGTCTGTTTACAATAGGCGTGTTTCATAGTTTAAAATGAGGTTACTTAGTTTTATTGATGGAGGCAATTAAACACTGCCAGGTGGGTAGAAGACATTAAAAATGTCTAATAAAAGTTCATTATGTATATAAATGTTAGAAGAAAATATACAACTGTGATAATAACAGCACTAGCTCAGTTGAAAAGAAGGCACTGTCTATTAATCGAACGTCACACTTATTGCATCAGGCAAAATGTAGACTAAATAAAAACGAATCGGGAAAACTTTCATCGTACGTGTACGTATTGCCACAGGGAATGAAAATTCTAATGTAATTTATTTATTTATTTTTTATCACCAAACCAGACTATCATTGTCGTCACGCAATATACCGTCTCCTTAAATACCCCTATATTTAACTTTAGTAAATGTTATATATTTACGGCTATAAGACACATGCCCACATATTACAAATCAAATTACAAAATTCCTGTGCTGAAAATTCCACACTGTACCACAAGTACTGTTTCTGGAATAAAGCGAAATTGTTATGTTATGTTGTATTTATTTTGCCCTTATTTTTAAATACATAAAGGCACGCCTTTGGATTTATTTTCTCTGACCACTCGCTAGGAATGTACATATATAATAAATGTTCATGTTTAACAGTGGTATTCGTTTATTTTATGATATTTTTTCTTTTTTTTGTTAATATTGACGTTAAGTTTTGCTGATGTCGTATTCTCCATAAAATGTTGCTTTGTTAATATCTTTCCAACTCTACATGTAGTAACATATCTTTGAATGTATCTATGAGCTAATGGGCGATTTAAATCTCACTAGTTTTTCAATTTTCAATCATTTACAAGCAA